CTGATGTCTGCAAGTCGACCCCTCTCCTCTGCTGAACATACCCAAAGCACTCCAGCCCTGCATTACCTGGCGGTTTACAATAGATGTTTTTGAAACTGTCACGAATTGTGACAATGGTTTGTGCAACCCTTCAAACAGACTGCAAGACCTCCAGGTCTGGCTGCTTTGAGAGCAGAATTTAATTTCAGTCCATAGATGCTAATTTCCTGCTTAGGTGACCCCCAAATACACAAACTATCAACATGGAAATTGGGGATTTATTGCTGTATTTTAGGTTTTCCTGTTGCTATTCTAATTTCTTTAGGTAAGAGAGTGGTTACAGCTTGCAATAGCTTTCCTTTCTTCAGAGATCCTTGCAAAATGGTTGAAGAACATACTTTTCTGCGTTTTCAGAAGTCCTCATTGTGTATATTAAATAAATCCAGTTCTGAAAGTGCTGGTTACTTGGCTATTGAGACGCAGCTTTCTGTCAGTCATTTACTGAATCTTTACTGAAGTCCTCTTGAGATGTTTTTATGTGTATAGTCCTGCAGTATTAGTAGCTCTACAGCTACTAAGACACACAGAGGAAGAATAGTTTCAGAAATCCAAAAGACCTTGAAAGTCAGAGGAATATATAAAAATGCTATTACTGCCTGTTGAGACTGTACCTATTTTTTAAAAAATTATCAGAAACAACGTTACATTGTACATTGCATGTTCTTCCAAACATTAATATCCCAACACGAACCAACACTTGAATGCTCTGATCTATGAAACAAGCTATTAGGAAACACACTGGCTAGTTGTAGTTACCTAACGTATGAGACAGTTACTGCACACGAACAGAGTATTTTTAGAGGGTAACAAACGCCAAGATGTCAAAGCAGCTTAATAATGTCTCTAGTACCAGATGAGAGATTCCCTCAATGCCGCTAAGCTGGACTTTGTTAATGGTAGCAGCTGATTTTGCAACTGGCATCTTAACTGAAATGATGATTGTAAATCCCGTGTGTTAGCCTGGACCTCTGGATTCACTATGCATTGATGTTCGACTGTCTCTGGTGCGGGCTCGGGAAGAACTCTCTCCTCCTCTCACCTGTGTGTACAATCAACCACGGGGCGTAACTCTAGCCAGTCAAATCCAGGAGAGTGAGACTTCTAGCCACATCCCCTCACCTGGACCTGGACCAAGGAGTTACACTTGAGAGAAGACAACTCCTTGCAAAACGCTCTGCAATGACCATACTGCAAGGCAACATAAATTGTGTGAAAATTCTTTGAGAATCGTACAATACATACTCACCTGCCCATCAGCTCTCGCCTGATTTGTGCCTCTGCCAACAGTTTGCACCGTGGTAACTCCACAGGTAAATATTTATGAAGTATTTGTGGTAGCTGTTAACCACTTCCATGTAATTCTTTTAGGAGATCTGTCACATTGGTACACTGAATACATTCTGGGGTTGAGGAAAAACATTTCTTCAGCTTTCGTGAACCCAGTAAGCAAGCTCGGGAAAGTCAGACAGCTGCTTTCGAAGCAGACTGTGTTTCAAATCCAGCTTCGCTTGATAGGAAGAACTTGAAATGTGTCTCTTACCAAAAGATTTCCAAATGGAAACGCAGTAACATCTTAATTAGAAAATTCTTTGCATAGCAAAAGGCTCCAAATGAACAATTACTTTATATTTCACGTAAGCCTTTTCTAACACAATCTTTATACGGGGAAAACAAAACATGCAAGGAAGAACAACAGCATAGAAAATATCATATAAAATGTTGTATTTAAGCATTTAAGCAAGTGGTGATTAAATCTTCCTGTGAAATCTGCCTCAGAGCTTTATCACAAACCAGAATAAAACTAAAGAAACCTGACAGATGATATAGTCATTCTCTCCCAGTACAAAAACTGCAGGATCTGGGAAAAATTTTAAACAAGAAATTATTAGAGGACAATCACTCGACACGTAAGATTAGCATTGTTATCAGTTCCAATATCAAATTCAGGCACTTTTTAATACATTCTCAATACAGGTCTTTTCTCCTAACCAGGGAAGCCCAGATGTGTTTGATACTGAAGATGCTGGTCCAGGGCAACAGACAACCCATAAATGCCTGTCCCAAACCGAAGAGGGGGCGGGGAGCACAGGCAGCTCCGAACAGCTCCTGGACAAGGGCACAGCACATCTTCTTACTAAATTAACACCTGCATTTAGTGCAGCAATGGAGTCAGGATGGAACAAGTTAACTCTTCCCCGAATCAGCGACCAGAAGACCCAACGCTCTCCACAGTGACATGTGCTCTTTTAAAACAATGGCAAAAGAAACTCGGTGGTTATAATCCATTTGTGCGCATATTCCTCCACAGAGTTTTGTAGATAAAAATCAAATACGACACGTACATTTCTTTCAAAAGTTACTGAGTAGAGAATACAGCATATAGAACTGAGACATGTGAAATATGTACAGCTGTAACACTAGTTAAAGGCTTGACTGTGCTTTTCTGAGAAGACTTGTTGAGTAGCTGACAAGGCCATTCGGTTGTTTCCTGGACTAAGGCAAACGAGTTCAGCCTGTAGGAAATCACATCATTTTGTTTTTCCTGGTTATTTTTTCAAATGGATACCTGACACTGTTCTAGACAAAGAGACAGTCCTTTTACATAATCCTGGCTATCCAGCCCTCAACAGTCCTTCAAAGAGCACTGCACTTTCCTCCATAAAGGGTTTGCTTTTAGCACTGTAAGTCAGTCAAGTATTGCCACTCATTTCCTAGCCTCACACAAAACTGCAGAAGCAAAGCTAAGACAGTATCTCGAACGAGGAGACCTATTAAAAGGAATTAATCAAAATTTGATCTCTGCTGACACTTACGTTAGCAAAGCAGGCTAAACTCCAGCAGCTAGGGACTGCCTCACATTAGCACAACTCATCACGTTAATCAACATTAACTCAAGCATTTTGTAGCATGGTTCACTTTAGACTCACAGGTACACTACGTTGAGCTGAATAACCGTAGTGAACTGTTGCGGTGTCTGTAGTCTTAGCTCTAGTCTAACAATCTCTCCAGCCATTTCAATTCAGCTGAAAGCAAGCCTGCAAACAACCTGAAATGCAGTAATAATGATGATAATAATAATAATGATGATAATAATGCTAGAAGAAAACTTCAGAAATCATCTAGTCTATCTTCCTACTCTTGTGTTTTTGAAAATCTCAAAGCCGTTGATCAAACCGATATGGCAGGGCTTTTTTTATTGGCATAAGGATAATTACCACGTTAACTCTTCGCCTATCGACAGGCAAAGTGTGTATGTAGGGGGACTAAGTCACTAAAGTAGTTACTTCCCTTTGAAGCTGACAGAAAGTCAGAAAACTTTTCAGTAGTGCTTTTCCTCCTTGCTTGTTTCTTTGTATAAGGCACTGCAGTCTGCTTCTTTTACGAAGTCATACTTGGCGAGTGTCACTTACCCTAGTTTTGCTAGAAAATCCTTTGGGAGTCTCAGCCTGTAATGTTCTAAGCTCCACTCGAAGTGAACCTTCAGTGACTAGCAAGCTTTAAAAAAAGGAGATTCCTCTAAGTCAGCCAAAACCAGAAAACCAACCCTTCCCTCCCAAAAACACTTGAAACAAATTGCCAATTACAGCAATTATCATGATTTTTCACATATTAAGCTTCCCGTCTCTTGATTCGTAGTTAATTAGTTCTCCAGCTGAAGAGGTTTCTGCTGTAAACAGAATGTCTAGTAAAGAGCAAGAGGAAGAACTTGGATGTTATGTGGGACTCCAGAACACCTGGCACCTGAGATAACTCTCAGTGAGGGTGACAAGAGGCAGTGCGTTGGTGGGCATTAGGGGTATTAACCTACGGCACGGCGTCCAGATGTCCCCCGTTCTCTGCAAATCAGCCCATTCAAATGTATGCAAAGATGGTGTCTGGCAAGGTAAGGTTCCCATCACACTTCAGTTCAGACCTAGAGGATCTTCTAAGACATTTACTCCAGGTAGATTTGGCTGTGAAGAAAATGAACTCTATCCTGGCCAAAGCACATTTTAAACTAAACAGAGGCGGATAAAAAAGCAAATCCTTCTGAACACCCCCCTCTCCTTCTCTCTCAAAAGGAGAAAAACTTCACTAGAGAACCACAAACTTCCACGAGGGAGTTTTCTGGGCTGCAAATTAACACTCCCTCCCTAACTCCCAGGAAGGCTCTGCGGATTGAAGTTCGTAAAACACATTGAACACGGAAAGGCCACTGTGAGGTAGTATCACAGCACTCCTATTACCTAGCTTATATCTCTGTCTTTTTGCAGAACTACTAGAGCTTTTTTAACCCCATTTCACAAAGATTTCAACTCAACCTTTTATGAAAGGAGAACTATAAATAGCCTCTTAGATTAAAACCCTTAACAGCCGAGAAGGCTGGAAAGGGAGGTAGATATTATCCACCTTTCAGTACTACAAATTGGGCTGGAAGGGCTTAATTACCAAGATATACTTAAGAACACACTAAGGGCTGCTATAAAAATTACTCCAATTACGGCAGCGCCACAGACATCGCTCCCCCTGGGAGAGAGGAAACCACCACTTCCATCTCTTCCCACGTACCCCTCCTGTACCCCATGCTAATAACGGGCATCACGAACAAACAGCAGCTTCATGCCATGCACTTGTAGAGTCCTTTCTCCCAGGTGGCTTCACGGAACCTTTCAGGCCAGGAGAGCCAAGGATTCGGCTTCTTTTGTTTTTCCTTTGAAATCTCAAAGTGGAGACACACTGTTTGTATAATGGAAGGCAACAACATGATGTCAGCCAATGTATTAGCTTTGAAACGTCTCGGGCAGAGAGAGATTCGTTTAACCTAGGAGTAGGATTTGAACGTGGAATTCATGATTTCACATGAATTACACACTCACTGTCCTGAAATGGGGAATTCATGGTTTTCCTTCTGATTTAATCTGCGATGATGTATTCTTATTTATGATGGCATTAATGATTTTTGTAATTCTGAATAAATGTGTAATTCCCCATGAGTGTTCAGGGAACTCATTTCTGTCAGTAGTCAAGAAGTCCTTATGCTTTCAGTACTCCTGTGCTAAGATTTTTGCGATGGTGCTCAACTGGATATTTGAAGTTCCTTCATATATTGTACCTGAAATCAAAAGAAAATAAATAAAAGACTATAAACCCACAGTGAGTACATGAAGAGAGACCAAGAAGAGAGACCAAGATATCATTCCAGCAGTCCCATTAGAACACTGACAATTATGAAGGGAAGCTTCACTGAGCAAGTTCTAGAAACAGAATTATGATTTACAGAAATGTTCATATTTTATTATCTGCAAGAATTAAAATACTCTTCTGCTGGTACAACATAATGATAAGATTTCCTGAAAAGCCATTCCTAAATAACCAACAAAAATGTCATATTTACAAATGCTATCAGTAATAACAGAAATGTCAAAACGTTAGGTCCGAGGTTTAGACTGGTAAATGAGGAAGTCATGGTAATAAAATTCCACATAGATTTGGATCTCAAAGCCAAAGAAATTATTTTCAATTTTTTTCACTGGAATTTTTTTAATAGAATGGGACACAATGTGTGTGTCTTTTATTGGTATCTAATTAAACATTTTAACCAGCCTTACATACACACCTATTTATACCTTAAGTTTTACCTGCTTATATCTGAGCCTTTGAATCAGTGTTAATTACAGTCTCACGGAAAAAATCTCTTAAAAAATTGCCAGTCATTCATCCCCAAACTTTAAGACTACTAATACTGTAAGAAATACTTGTTAAGACACTATCACTCACCTATCTTGCAGTCACGATAGTACTTTTCTATTGGGTAATTTTTTGTGAACCCAACGCCACCCATCCACTCGATACATTTACTAGTTGTCAGCGTGGCGACCTACGAGAAGAGTTTCAGAGTTACGATTTCAGGATTCCACTTCACGCAGGTGGTAGTAAATTTTATTCTTTGTAGCTATTTAAAGTAAAAACAGAACAGCAATGAAAGCAGTTACTAGAACAAGGGGGAAGAGGAAGGACTGATATTTTTCTGTTTATCTTATTTATGCAAGCTATTTTAGAATAAAAGTGACATTTTTCTGAACCAGAGGACGTAAACAATTCACTCACCATTGCTGCAATAGTTCATATGCTGCACTGTGAAAAAGACTTGCAGTGGTATGCAAGCCAGCAGTTACAAAGAGGCAGAAGCAACCCAGTTTTGAATCATATTAAGACTCGCAGTTATGACCAGCAGAGTCAAACTGGTCACAAATGAAGTCTCACCATGTCGTTTCTGCAGCCACAAAAAGAGAATTCTGAGAAAATGAAATCTCTCTAGATGAGTGAAAATACGAATTCACTTTCTCTTTTAATGCTGTGGCTTGTTTTTCAAAATTTTAGGTAGGAGCGAGAGCAGTTCATGCTTTGGTGGCCTACTTCACATTCCACACATGAACTGAGAATGAGAAACAAGGTGAAAGAACATCCACAGATTTCACAGCAAAACATGAATCGAAAGCTGTACGCTCAGTAACAGAACAAACTGCTAAACAGCAGTGAAATAAACCCCCTGATCAAAGAAGCCGCAGGTTACCTCCGCAGCGTAGTACTTGGCCATGCTGGCCTCCTTGATGAACGGCCGGCCTGTCTCCGCAAGGCGAGCCGCGTTGTAGGTCAGCAACCTCGCCGCCTCCAGCTGCGTGGCCACCTGAGCTATCTGGTGTTGCATCCCCTGTAAGAAGCACGGCGCGAGTCAGACAGAAGCAGTACCTAGTACTCAACTGGAATGTCTAGCAAGAACCATTCTTTCCACCAAGGAACACGCCTACACTCTAAAATAAAAATACAAAAGCCAGATGGACTAGTAATTCCGCATGCTTCTGCATCTACCCACACTGAAGTTGGGAAAACCTCTGGGCCACCAAAGTCTTTTTAGGAACTGCACTCCTATTTTCTCCTTCCCTCTTCTTGGATTCACGAGTATGGGGGAATTTCTTGCCGGACTGGCTGGACCAACATGAACCTATCTGCACCCATGAATATCAAGGAACATTTCAGCCAAATCTTAACGTTTTCCTCAGCACCACAGAGATACAGGCAGGTCAAAGCTGTGACCTGAACTGAGAAAAACTTGAAAAAAGTACTTCTTAAAGAAGGATGAGAACTAGCAAGGTGACAACCACTTCTTCCCATGTCCCATAACCATGAGACAAGAGTTCAGAGCAGCATAAAAAGTCTAGAGAATGGGACTGATGAACGGATTCAAAGGGAATGAAAAAGGTGAAGGAGCTCACCTCTGAATGACAGGTATTACGGACGAATAGGTTTATTTAAGGAGACCCAAACGTTATGATGACTGAAGATGAACATTTAGTTGTCTAATTTGCTCCTAAACCACAATGAAATCTTTCATCTTATTAGAACATTAACACTGCTCCCTAAAATTTGCAAAAATATATATGCAGGTCAAAATAACAAAATGATTCGGCAATTATAAAGTCCATTTCCCATTCAAAAGACGCAGTTCCAATAATTTCCTAGGTATCTGTGGGTGCTTCCTAGAATTTGTATAAATTATGAGTAGTACTAATGTTCCTTCCCTTCATCTGAGATGTAGGTTTCCTTTACCAAGAAAATTACTATAGTAATTTCAATTATATATCTTCCTTATTAAACTATACATCATTTTTGCAACAAAGTCTTTTTTGTTTTAAGATACAGAGATTATCATGAAAACTGAATGTCGTTGTATAACACAGGAAATCTAATAATTCAATCCGTTTCCCTCATCTTTTTATAATTTCTAGTGTCTCCAGAAAAAGGCCTTCCCCTACACTTCATGAAGGGGTATAAAAACTGGAACACATTCAACATACTGTGATATTAAAATCAGAAGAGAAAGGAGTTCCATGTGTATTATTTTGAAAGGCAGCAAACATACTGTCAAGGAAAAGGAGTTACATCAACAACGTTTTGAAGTGTTAAACGATTTATACGGTACCTGCAAAGGCACAGAGCACCGAATGTACATATTTTACAAGGCAGATGAATGCTCCTCTGAAATTCTCTTGAAAAATTCTTTTCAAGTATTGAGAAGCAGAGACATGCAACAAGGCGAAGCACGAACTATGCAAATCCGATTGCTTATTTTATGGACTTCATCTGCTGGGGTAACTACTACTCTCTTGGATCAAACTCCCCATGTATTCACTAATAATGAATTAATTCATTAATTCACCTGGAAATCAAATACGCTTTTCCCAAACTGGACTCTCTCCTTTGTATAGGGAATCGTATGGTCAAAACATCCCTGTGCCAGTCCTAACATCTGCAACAAATAAGACACATTGAGATGAGTTAGGACAAAAAAAACCCCCAAACTTTGAGGAACAAGCCTACTCCATACTACTCCATTCCTGAAAGAAACTTTCTTACTAAAGGCAAAATATTTGTGAAAAACACTATCACTGGTTTTTGAACGGAAGTTATGGGTCAAATGTGGTTGCACATATATTAAGTGTTTCTGGCAAAATTCTTAATTACGCAGGAAAATGTCTGTAAACTAAAGATCTATAGATCTACATTACACTATTAAAGGAAAAATCATTTGAATGATTATTCAAAACTATTTTCATAATAAAAACAATTTCTCATTTTATAGAAAACACTAGACTCAGAATTAGCAATTTATTTCAGAAGGTAGAAAATTAGTACAGTGGAAGGAGAGATAACATTTGTCCAGCATTTTCTAGAAAAAGCCCAACTCAACAGAACAATTCTAGAAAACCCACCGTCTTTTTCACACACTCTCTTCACTCAGCAGCAAAGACAGCAAAACACAATCGTTGTCTTGGAGGGTAACACATGGGAGAACTACACATGAGCATTTATAGAGAAGTCGCTTGCTTCTACCCTAGTGTCGGATTTATTAGCCTAAAGAAACATCACGAAATCTGGAAAGTAACCTAGTTTTGCCTTTTTTGAGAAGTGTATTCCATTCCAAACAAGATAGTAAAGAAAGGACCCTGCCTTTCATATATACTGGAATATATAGCTATCAGTAAATGAGTTGGTTTTGTTATGTAACTACATCCATCTGAACGCATTCCTTCTACCTAGTTTCTTTCCTAGGAAAAACAAAGATAGGAAATTAGAGTAGGGGAAGCATCAAACAAGTAAAAAAAAAAAGGAGGGGGGGAATAAACGGCACGAAGAACTATCAAAAAGCAAGGTAACAGAATACGGCGTGGCAGATGCACCCGCCCTGCCAAAGACCCGACAAAGACCGGGGTTTTGGGGCTGTTAAAACCTGGTTGCTTTGCTTCAGGCGCTCACCTGGCCGGTGTGTGCACTTGCCTCCAGCTAATCAGAACTGACCACAGGTCACACTCGACTGGGGCAGAAATGGAGCCCCACCGAGAGCCGACGGGAGCCGGTTCTCCTCAGAGCGGCGGGTCTGTGGTTGGGGACTCTCCCCTTCAGTGAGCCCTCACCCCTTTTGGGTGAGTGATTCCATTTTCTGGGTACCCTTGAGTGGGAGGTTTTCCCCCCTTTCGTGAGTGAGCGGCTGCACATTTGGGATCACCTTTCTAAAAGGCCTATTCACGTCATGTAGGAATTCTTAAGTCAAGTTGGGTGGCATTATATTCCCACCTGACATCCAAACTTGTGATTTACTTTGCTCCATCGGAGTGCTGGCTAATTTTTGGTTGGAACAAACCTTCATTTTCAGTGGCTGCTCTCTTTGCTTGGCGGGTGCCTCCACCTGGCACCTGGGCTTGTGGTTTGCTTTGGTTCCTCAGCGTGTTTTGAGGGACTGCCCTCTCTGTTTTGCGGGTGCCTCCGTGACGTATGGTAAAACTGGAATCTCGTAAAACTTTTCTAAGTCAAGACGGGATACTACAACGTGGCAGTCAGCTGTCCCATCAAGCAGCTCAGTCACGCTACTTTTAATGATGTAGAAGAACGTATGGGGTTTTTTTTTTTGATAGACCCACATATTAAGCTGAAAGCCAAGGGCCCCAAGAAGATAAAAACATGCCTCTAACTGGGTTCAGGCATCTACTCCTTAATCATTTAAGATTCTAGAAAAATCCCCACAACACAGAGGAAAATGAGTATGTGGGAAGATAACAGAAGAACATAACGCAGACTGTTGCTCATCAGCTGTATTACCAGGTTTGTTGCCTCCTCATCTAAACTCATACAGATGAACCAAGTATATCAACTTCAGCACCTGTAACAATGCAGGGCAGCTACCTTGCACTAAAACTATCTGAAACTGTTTTGACAGCCACTATTACGTTTTATAAGACATTCATTATCTTTTAAAACTATTACTACTGCAAAACTAAATTCAATACTACAGGGCTTTGGAACTGCTGTTCTTGTCCATTCAGGTACATTTCTCTTCATTTGAAGGTGCCAAGAACGTAGTAACTAAGATATAACAACTACCTGACCTTAACTTTTAATTAGGTTATAGTGTAACTTGGAGTAATTAGGAGTAAAATCCAGACCATGTGTTTTACTGCCAGAGCCTCTATATTATTTATATCTCTGGGAACAACGGGGCCCACAGGCCTAGTTTTTACATGCCGTTATCAGACGAAGTGTAATCACAGCTAATCTTTAGAAATGATGGAAAAGCCAACCCATTTAGCAGCATAGTATACTGCCATGTGGAAAGTCTAAATTTCATAAGCATGATTACTTCTGGTCTGTCTGCAAACTAAGGCAAAAGCTAAGGGAGTTGGTAGTACAGCTGTATTACACCCCATACAACTACATCCACAACAAAGTAGGAAAAAAATAAAAGATTACTTTCAAAAGTAATTAAAAATATAAAAAGTTGTCATAAGTCATTTTATTACAGGGCTGAACCTAATTCCCACTGAAATCAGCAGCAATCTGAGACCCGAACTGAGTTTACAACAAAATACAACATTTTGAAGTAACTCCGAGGTCAGCAAATACTTTCCCCTAAGACGCCATAAGGTGTCATTTTCAAACACAATGAACTAGGACGCTTTTGCTATTAAGAAAAATCACATTTCTTATTCTAAAAATAAGCTGAGTTTTAAAAATAAGTTGTTGGGAAAACGTCAGTTAGCTTAAGGTCACATTTGGCAATCCCACACAATCACTGTCAGAAGCACTAATATTATACACTTCAGTGTGTTGTATCTTCCAAAGCTACGTTTCTTTGTAAAATAAATTTGCATAAAGGAAGACAAAAATGTCGATATATTTCAGCAGCAATATGTTAACCACCAAAGACAAACTAATTGCCTTTTATGTTTTCTAAATCTATTGCTTAAGTCACCGAAGGAGAATTTTACCATTTACAGTTGTTGCAGTATTTTACTGTAACTTAGACACAGGAATAGTGACACCTAGTGGCAATTTAGTTTTTAATAAAGAATTTTCTAAATAGTTTATTCTTATTAACTTTATATATTTCGTAAGTGTCAATCCAAATTCAAAGTTATAGACTGGTTGTACTCAGTACTAAACAAAATTACCCACCTGGGCGGCAATACCTATTCTGCCGGTATTCAGCATGCCAATTGCGTACTTATAGCCTTGCCCAACTTGTCCCAGGATATTGGTCTCAGGAACCTAAAGAATAAAACCACTTGATTATTCCTGTTCTATTCTGCTTTGCAATTGCTAGTAGGGTTCACAGGTGAATCAGTGTATGTGTCTGATTTAACGTTCCTCATAAGTGAAGGCAAAAACCAAGCACCTGATTCCCAGAATATCTGATTAGAACATTCTGTGATACACGTGATTATAAACTGATGATTGAGAAAAACTGGATCAAAATTTAAGAAACCCAACCCCCCTCAATGCTTTTGTGAAAGAACAGGGAGGAAAAAGTTAAAATATGCCAAACAATCGGTATGTCCAAGGAAAAAAAAAAAATTGGGAATTTAGTTAACGTTCTTTCCTTAGATGTGGCCAAGCTCCAATTATACACAAATTACACTTCAATAGCTAAACAACTTACAACACCTTAACGTTTTCAAGTGTTACTGGGCAGGTAGAAGATGCTCTGATTCCAAGCTTATCCTCCTTCTTCTCTACACGTAGTCCCTCTGTGTTGCGATCTACTATGAAGCACGTAATTCCCCTGTATCCCTAGGATGAATTAAAAATTAATCAAGAACTGTTCTTTATACTAATATCACCAAATGCTGGTCTAAATATAGTACTGAAGTTTCAGAACTGCTTAATACTATATTATGAAATATAACACTGGCAGCACCACCTGTTCCCTCTACATCTCCTAATTATGGTTTAACAAAGGCCAGGGTATACCTTTCTATTAAAATATTCCGCGTGGAAAATACAATCAGAACAACCTTAAAAGTTCTCTTGGTAAGACATGGGACTGGTATTATGTAAATGAAACGGACAGGACTGCAATGCCTGTCTATACTGGGAATCACTGGGAAAGCAAGTTACCGCTGTGCAGCGAAGTTACTGCTCGCTGTTGGAACACAGGTCACAGCCAAACAACGGAATGATCTAACACCCACAACTGGTGCACACGTTCTCCTTGCGATTCCCGTTTGCAGAACATGGATATCTCGGTCTTTTCACTTCGGAGAGGCAGCGGGAATGTACTCTGAAATCATTGTGATGGTTGTTAACAAAAAGCTCCAAAAGTCGATCGGGTATTTAGATCCTGGCCTGGACCAACGCTAAATAATGCACGTGACAACACGTAGGTTGTAGAGCCAAGATAAATTCTGGCCTCTTCTACATAGAGGCTTTACAATCTTCGCACCTTTGAAGTCTTAAACTAGATTCTTGAAGAACAGAACGATGATTCCTGATAGCTGTCACCTTCTCTTTTTCCCAACAGGTAATTCGTATTCCCAGCTCTCTCTCCTTTCCACCACTCCTTCTTGCTCCCTCAGCATTGCCCCCAGCCAGAACCGCAGCAGCGTCTCTTACACAACGTACTACAAGGTCCACGAGACAGAAGTGCAAGGTGTTCCTGGCCACGTTTCCATCTCTTCCTGTCCCCAATGTCCACAGCACCTCCCCTCACTACGATGGTGACACTGAGAGGCAGGAGAAGTCCTGCGGTTCTTCTGGAAGAGATGCCTCTCATTGAAGGAGGCTGCTGTTTCAATCTCACCGCAGTGTCAGCCCACCTCACCAAATGGGAGCTGCTAGTGCAGAGTGTACATCTCAGCACACAGCTCTACACTGGTCTGTCAACTGTTATTTAATCTTTGAGCAGCATTGACTTTTAATCTCCTTCTTGAATATTCAAAAGCAAATTTCTAACTTTAAGCAGACAACAAATTATACATTTTTAAAACGTTACAGGAATACAGAAACCACTCCAGATTATACAGCAATGCACAGCAGTTAAAGTAGAAACTGGCTCATCAAATATATTTTCATTGTATGGACTACTCAAATCACCCACCAGCTTGTGAAGAAATGGGTAAAAATTCAGAAAGCGACACAATGTCCAACTGTTCAATATAATGAAAGAAAAACCCCTCTTCTTATTTAGCCAAAACCCGAAATTTAATTTTAAAAATAAATATATTTCAGTTAAACTTTTAAGAAAGAGATACTGGAAGAAGTTTAAAAGTAAAAGTTTTAACCAATTTAGTTTTGTATTTGATCATCACTCTACCGTATTGGTACAGTACATCTTAAAGCCTTCAGTTGACTTTGCTGAATCTACTAGCTGTACCTAAACTGATGACAAAACTTGAAAAGTGCATATTCAGCAATGTATTTTTCACCTGAACATACTATGCTGTTAGTTTGCCAGTGCATGTAGCTTAAGCTCCATTTTGCCTTTTAACAATAGCAACTTGTCAGTCAAGCCAGAAGGGTTGGAAAGACTTAGGCTATACCTGTTCTTTTGTTACCCAAAATAATACCGATGCATGCTGTGCTCTTCTCCTGAGCAATTATGATTCTGACATTTTTATTTACCGTGGTGGGAGGAATTTATTAAATTGCTCAGCAAGGTCTCAATTTTTGTTGGGAAATATTTTTAAAGGTTTGCTGTCAGCTCAGAAAAGGTTCAAAGAATATTAACCTTTAACATCAGGTTATTCATATAAAATCTACAGCTTCATATATCATCAGCTGTCACAGAAATGCAACTGTTCTTTAGCAACTTACTAAGGATGGGTCTGTATTTGCCATCACAAAGAAAACTCCTGCATGTTCTGCTAAGCTAATCCACATCTTCGAGCCATTGATAACATAGTAGTCTCCTTTCTTTTCAGCCCGAGTCTTCAAAGAAAACGCGTCACTGCCAGATCCAGCCTCCGAAAGACAGAAACTGCCTATCTGTCAATTGAAGGGAAAAATGAATCTTAATTTTTACTCCACATACAGGCACAACATACAACAAATTCTGCAACGAATATAAACAAGCACAAGTCTCTTAAATTCAAACATTTTAACCTATTGCCTCAAAGTAAGTTTCAGATATGGAGATTAAGAACAGAAACACTGTGTAATTACATGTCTCTCCAAGTCAACTGCTTTAAATTCTTTTCCACAGTGAATTAAATTTTAATGAAACTACTGAGTGCCTTTCCACTTTTACCTCTCAGCTACTGGTATGACAGGATGTATCTATGTCACCACAGATCTCAGCTCTAACCAGTGTTTCCAAGTTCACACGTATTTTTCCAGTGCTGCAGCCACCCATTTTGTTACTGAAAAAACCCACCCCACTAACATTACTTAACTATTAAAAATTCTGTTATAGTTTAGTAAAGTGAGAATTTGACTCACTGTATCTTTAGCGACTCTGGGCAAGTAAGTTCTCTTTTGTTCTTCTGTTCCGTATGTGGTAAACAACTTAATTATTAGTGTATTTTGGAGTTCACATAGAAGAGCTACAGCTGGATCAACTTTGGCCAATTCTTCTACCACCAATATGGTTGAAAAAAATGAAGCTCCAGTTCCTCCATATTCTTCCCCAAGCTCAATACCCATCAGCTGCAATGTAAAAGATGCAAACAGACCAATCTGTTGGTTCCTGTCAACCACTTGTTAGTCCAAGCTGATACTTAAGAGATTAGAATGAATATATTTCCAGATCCTTCCCCAAAGACCTGTTTTCCTTCAATACCCTTAACAAACTAACAGTCCTTCACAGGAGTTGATAGTCAATTAATGCAAGAGACAACTAACATGCAGTATACAGGCCAATCATCACCCTAATTCGACTACATTTCCCAGAACAACTGCAATTTCAACAGAAGTCTAATATCTAGAGTTGTCATTGTATAAAATGTCATTCTAAACACAGACAAGCTTTAGGTTTGAGAGCAGGAAAAGCTAAACTTGAAGGCAGGAATGATCAACAGGTATCTGCCACACAAGTCCTGGTGGTTGGCCAGTAAGGACATCAAGGACTCCTGATACCCTTTGCCAGCAACACTGATCAGTCATGCTGGTTCTAGCATTCTACCCAATCATGCTTATCCAATTCAAACTGAAAGAGGGGAGATTTGGATTAGGTATTGGGAAGAAACTCTTCACTGTGCGGGTGGTGAGGCACTGGCACAGGTTGCCCAGAGAAGCTGTGGCTGCCCCCTCCCTGGCAGCGCTCAAGGCCAGGCTGGATGGGGCTTGGAGCAACCTGGTCTGGTGGGAGGTGTCCCTGCCCATGGCAGGGGGTTGGAACTGGATGGTCTTTAAGGTCCCTTCCAACCCAAACCATCCTGTGATTTAAAAAAAAAAAAAAGTGCAGGGGGAAGACAAGGAACTCAAGATAAGATGAAGAATGCAGTATGGGAGAGGGAGAGGTGGAAAGAATATTACAATAAAAGATGGAAAGTGATAATGCAGTAGAAAAGAAGATGAAGTCATCTTGCTGTTGATAAATCCAAAATTTATAATGATTCATTAGTTCATTTGAATTATATCCCTCATCTTTTAATCTGAAAACTGAAAAGTGCACAGCTAGAGATTCACAAAATGACATCACTTTCTGAATAAAAGATTAAGTAAAAGTGTGCAGACCCCTTGTTCAAACAATCCTTGTATTACAGAGTCTTCCATTTCTGAATTCTCATCCATTTTTTGCACGAAAGGGGCAACTCGTTCCTGAGCAAATTTTGTCACTGTAATGAAGAGAGGAAAGCAAGCGTGTAAGTATTCTAACACTCTCCTTGAAGACCAATCTAACAGTAATGTGACAGGTTATGCAGGTATTCCCTGGCTTAATAAAAGGACAAAAAGTTGCCCAAGTGACACAAGGCGATGTGCCACCAGGCTCAATTATAATTGCTTTTTGAACTCAGCTACAACTCTCTGAACTGAAACAAACACTCCCTATAAATTCAGAAACTTTGAAAGCAAACACCTATGTAACACTGGTTGAGCAAAAAACTTGTAGAAAATATTTCGACTACATCCCTTATTCGGTGAGCTGTATCGTATTTCCTTATAAATTAAACTTGCAGCTATCCTGTAAGACTGTTTCTGTTTCATCAGAAGCTCTCTCCCAGATGGGCAGGTCCTCACTCTTTCACCTTTGCTCTGAGGATCCCTTCTGAAACGCTGTCTCCTTCACCCACGCCGGGCTGCGTGGCAGGCACCTGCATCACATCTGTCACCGTTCTGGGTGTACCTGAAGTCTCTGCACACCAGCTGGTGCAGCTGAGCTAAACACCTCAGAAAGGGCACGAGTCACTGCCAGGCAACTTCACCTCTGCACCAGCAACAGTTTTAAACAGTTTATGTTTATTTATGCAGAGTAAACTGCACTGTGGTACGTGGAGCTGTGCTGTGGCAACATGGAAAAAGCACGTTACGTTTTTCTTCTGTGAACTGAAGCAGTTTTAAGATTGAGCGCAATCCCCCACAATAATCTCAACATTTAACTGGAACTAAATAACAAAAAGAAATTTTAAAGCTAAAGTTTCCCTTCTAGTTGGGCATTTCTGAATTTGAACCACACAGATGACAGGTACCCATATTTTTCAGCATTGTCTCCTCTTCAGTGAACGTTTGAAGCGGAGCACAGACGACTCCTTCACTGGCTAGGTTTGGCATCAGTTCTGATTTGGAGGACCTAAAGGCACATGGAGAAGACCTCCAAGGAGCCAAGTATGCTGGCAAATTTCTTTTCAGCTGTTGACAAGGAATACAGAACATGCAACAGTTAAGAGAATTCGTACTTGTAGACAGAGAGCAATACACAATTTTACCCAGTGTTTTTACTCAGTAACGAAATAGGAAATGTAATTTACATTCAATGTCTAGTCTGAAGAGTTTTGAGAAGATATAACCCGCTCCCGCCGCAGTGTCCTAAAAGTAAATGTCCTTTAATTATTCTTCTTTTAACCCCAAACAATTTTCTTTCTGGAAGTTTGCTAACACAATGTTATTTTACAAAGTATTCACAAGCATTAGTTTTAGTCCATTTTAGTGTTTACAGCAAATAAACCCTGCTAATAGTATTTGTCTTTATAGATGATTTTGTAAGTCTGCTGCAGCAGTTGTAAGCGTATATTTTGACATAATTAATCTCTTCATTCACAAATATAAGAGGAAATATAAAATAAGACATAGAAAAAAAGACAAAGAAAAATAAGACAGAAGACCAGCCAACTTTAACAACAGACTTGGCTTTCTCCCTGATTTTCTAGGGGCCAGCAACCCTCGCTCCTAAAGCAATCTGATAGTACTTCATCTGGATTATTGGTATTTTGCTCTGAAAGGGCATAACTTTAACAGCACTGTGGGTTTTTGTATTCAAACTGAGTTCTTATCCATCACCTCACGATTTTCAGTGAGCACATTTATAGACAAAGCCTTGGCATTTGAGTGTTTCTGTGTAGTTCAGTTCTATGGAGTTCGTTTAAATCCAACAGTTACCATGCTGATAGTACTAGGTAATGAATAATTACTGTGTCTTATTTGGTAGATGTATTAAAAAAGTACAGGAAGGAACTAAAACTGAGTAATTTATGCTTATCCTTTCCCAATTCATCCATGGCATACAACTTCGAATGTTATCAAGTAGCACTGGTTACCCAACCAAGAGAGTGGAGGTATCACAGAGTGTTTTACTATAGGGGAACGGTGTTCAGCACATGCTCCATCCTTGGCAGCGTTCAAGACCAGGTTGGATGGGACTGTGGGCAACCTGGTCTAGTGGGAGGTGTCCCTGCCCATGGCAGAGGGTTGGAACTGGGTGGTCTTTAGGATCCCTTCCAACCCAAACCATCCTGTGATTCTATGACTCTATGATATGTGGCAAAAGTCTCAAAAATGAACAGAACAGACAGTGGCTTTTGGGAGCTCCACACAGTGATTGTCAGGTGGGTGGCCACAGCTAACGTGACAGGTCATTAGTTTTGGAGAACTATACTTAGTGTTCAAAGACTTACTCAAGTAGGTAAGGGCAAGCGTTAGGAAGGAACACGTTTGGTTTGAAAGCTGATGTACTTTCTAACCACAGAATAATTTCTTCAGATTTTTAAAAAATTTACCATAATAAACATGATGTGGCTCAAAAAGTAACAGACAAACAGTAGCCAAACTGCTGCAAAAATATATTCCTGAAAAGCAATATTCACCACGAAGCTCAGTTCAACTGACTGATCTCAAAAGAGGCAAGACAGAAAAACGGCTTTGCTCTCACAGCTCCCCAAACCCACCTGACGCCATGGCTAATGTCCACAGATCAGATCTTTGCTACAGTTGTCCGTCACTTTTGCCACGTCAGTCTAAAGTGTGGACATATTAACGTCTTGTGAAGGCAACTGCTGACAGAGACACAGCCGTGCCATAAAAATACCATATTTATGAGCACCTGCCTGCCAACATACATTTTTGCCAGCACACACTCTTAACCCCGCAGCGAGCAGACCGACTGACCGTGCCGCAACCAGACGGCTATTCAGCTCACACAACGCGTTTTGCAACGCACACTGCGACAGCAGCATTCCCCAAGAAATGGCAGAAACTTTGGGGGTCAAGAAGTAAAAATTCCTTTGATCCTTCTAATAACTGACTCCCTTTCATGTTGGCTTTCAACGCTTGTCATCTCCCTGGCTGAAGAACTGATGTAAAATAGAACTAGGGACTCTTTTTTGTCTTAGAGACAAGATGTGTAGATCTATTACGGTAAGGAAACTCTGACTTTAGCACATCCAGTCATGCATGACAAAAACAACAGTAAGGAGCGGTAATACAGAAAACAAATATTGCTGTGAACATTCAAGGTTCGTTCACATTCAGCACCCCTGGTCACATAAAACAAACACTGACTAGTGGGCTGATCCATGAATACGAAGTTTGGATGATCAGCAATAGCTGCAACACTTTCAAACAAAGACTAAGTTACTGGAGTCACAGAAAAACAAAGGAGTTGCTTCAATAGAGATAAAATCCAAGGCACCCACGTTCTGGATGCTGTCAGTCAGGAATGGATTATTTGCAGAACACCCAGCTATGGCAGGGTCACTCAGCACCCCGATGTGCCAGACTATTAAACATCCACCTGTGTAAGTCCATACGCTTAGCAAGGTCTGAGGAGGAAAAACCTTACACACACACACACACACACACATATATATTTAACACAGTATGCTTCCTGAGCAGTTACAGGATTACAAATCACACCTCCTGCTTCTTCCCCTACTCTGTTCCCAAGTGCAAAGAAAAGAGCTTTTTTCTTTCATGGTGGCATAACCCAGGAAAAATGCACAGTGCCTTTTTTAAGAATACAGAACTTTTTGGAAAGCTGCAAGTAGGTAGGCTCAGTAGGCAATACGCCAGCACCGTTGAAACAACTGGCAGCACTCTGGGATTACCTCTACTTTCGTTTGATGGCACCTGACACTTGGATGTGGAATTACTGACCACGTGGGTGAACGCATCACTAAACAAGCAGTGGACTCTGCTCCACGCAAAGTGGGAAGCGCAGATATTGTAGAGCAGAGAAAACACCCACGTTTTTCTCCTGTGCTTTTACGAAAACGGGAAGCTGGACAAACTGGATTAAAAGCAGTTCAGCGAGGTCAAGCACAAGTGCACGGGGCTGTATCGGCAGGGGGGGG